AGGACTCGCTTGAGGGGGTAATTGGTCAATACATGGATTGTGTGGGCGTGGAAGTAAGGTCGCAACTTTCTAGAGGCGATTAACAGGGCATAAGCCAATTGCTCCATCTCCAGATACCGTATCTTGACGTCTAGCAGATGCTTGCTTGCGTAATATACTGGCTATTGTACCCTATCCTCCTCCCGGATTAGAGCTCCACTGACTACATACTAAGAGACGAACAGATACAGAAGGAGAATTTCTTGCGAGAGAGGCTTGGACAGAAGAGGTGGCTTTCCGAGGTGTTCTTTAATGCTCTGGAATGCTTGCTCGCACTCGGGAGTCCATTCAAATTTCTTTTTGGCCTTGAGTATATTAAAGAATGGCAAGCAGCGATATGTTGCCTTCGATATGAAACGATTGAGAGCTGTTATTCGCCTATTGAGACTCTGAACCTGCTTTCGATTGGTCGGGTCTTTCATATCAAGGAGAGCTTGGATTTTTTCGAGGTTGATCTCTATACCCCTCTGATTAACCATGTACCCTAGGGATTTTCCTGAGGATACTCCGAACGAGCATTTGAGAAGATTGAGCTTCATTCTATACTTCTGGAGTATGCCAAACATCTCAGCAAGATGTGCTATGTGATCTAAAGCGGCATGCGATTTGACCAGCATGTCATCAACATAAACTTCCATCGATTTCCCGATCTGTTCAGAAAACATCCAGTTAACCAGTAGTTGGTAAGTTGCTCCAGCATTTTTTAGGCCGAAGGGCATAACCCTGTAACAATATAGCCCCCGATATGTAACAAAGGAGGTATGCTCTTCGTCTGGTGCATACATCGAAATCTGATTGTATCCCGAGTAGGCATCCATAAAACTTAGAACTCATGCCAGGGGGTGGCATCAACAATTTGGTCGATCCTTGGCAAGGGAAAGTTATCCTTTGGACAGGCTTTGTTGAGGTTGGTGAAGTCAACGTAGGTCTGCCATTTGTCGTTGGGCTTCTTTACCAAAATCGGGTTGGCAAACCAGCTCGGGTAGAGCACCTCCCAGATGGATCCATTTAGCAGGAGATTATCTACCTCAACTTTCAAGGCAACATATCGCTCCAGATCCATTGTTCTTCTCTTCTGGCGAACCGGCCTAGCCTCACTATCGATGTTCAGGGCATGGCAAATGATATTCGGGTTGATCCCGACCATGTCAGCATGAGTCCATGCAAACACATCTATATTTTCCTTGAAGAAGCTGGTAAGGTCGCCGACGAGCTGGGGATTGAGATTACTTCCAATTCTTAGCACCCAACTCGGCTCACTCTAGTCGATTGACACTTCAGATAAGTCCTCAACTAGCCTACTGGAAGGGTATTCCTAGATACGAGGATCCATGTTATCCTCAACTGGACTAGGCTGTGGTTCGATCCGGCTGATCGCCATTGCCTGTTCGGGGATGCCAAGTGGACTATTTTTTCCCTTGCACGCCATCTGTATTATCCTTACATAGCAGTCGCGGGATGCGCGTTGAGATCCGCTAACTTCCCCTATCCCCATTGGGGTGGGGAACTTCATCTTTAGATGGTAGATCGAGGTGACTGCTTTAAAGTTTCTTAGTAAAGGTCGTCCCAAGATGCCATTGAAAGCGAACAGACAGTCCACTACTAAGAACTCAATGATTTTGGTCACCTCGTTGGAGTCACCCAATGTGACCGGGAGTGAGATCGTTCCTTTGGGGATCAGGTGATCCCCAGTGAACCCGTTTAGAGGGATAGAGGCAGGCTTTAGATCGGCCTTATCCATATTCATTCTTTCGAAAGCTCGTTGGAACAAGATGTTCACGGCGCTTCCGTTGTCCACCAACACTCGGTGGACGTCGCAACGCCCTATTTGGGGCGTGATGACGAGAGCATCGTTATGGGGATGATGCAATCGAACTTCGTCTTTTTCAAAGAAGGTAATTTTCTCCTCTCTGCGAACCTTAGATGGTTGCAACGTCGTATTCATTACACTGATGGGGTCGTGATGGGCTGCCCGAGCATACCTTTCTTGGGCACCTCGCGAATTCCCTGCGAGATGCAGACCCCCAAAGATGATCCCCACGCTGCAGATACCCTTGCGACTACGACGCTTCTTGCCCGATTCCTCCTGATTTTTCTCCCGTACGGGAGCAGAGTCATCAACATACTCTTTGAAGTGCCCCTACTTGATGAGGTCTTCAATTGCTTGCGTAAGGGCTCAACACTCATCGGTGTGATGCCCATTATCCCGATGATAGCGATAGTACTTTTTACTGTTTCTGGCTGAAGAGAGGTTTTTCATGGGCTCGAGCTCCCAGAGCAGGCTGGCCTTTTCTGACTTATCAAGAATAGTAGAGACTGATGCATTCAGAGGGGTGTATTGACTCTTGTCGCGCAACGAGGAACTGGGGCGTAGGATTTCTTGGGCTCATATCGCTGTTTCTTTCCTTTGCGTTGATCGTCATTAGCCCACCTGTGATCAGGCCTCCTATTCTCCCCCTGACCAGGCGTACTGCCCGAATGATCGGGGTCATGGCGGTTGAACGCCACCACGGAGTTTTCAATGTGGAGGTCTTTCTCCGTAAGGCTGTAGAAGCGAGTGAGGGAAATATCGTCCTCAGATTGCAGCTCTTTCCACAGATCTGTCTGTGGAAGAACTCCCGCGATGATAAGAGTCCGAACGAACTCTTTGGGAGTGTGAGCTTCCTTATGGAGCTTCATGTGGAACCTGTCAATATAGGATTGGAGGGGCTCATCCATCTCTTGCCTTATGTTATTGTGGTAGCTTAGAGGCATCGAGAACTTCCTGTTCGCCTGGAAATGTCTCAGAAATGTCGAGCTCATCTGAGGCCACGAGCTAACTGATCTTGTTGAGAGCGACCTGAACCATCGTTTGACATGAGAAATAAGAGTTACTGCCAAGCAACGGCATTTTGCCAAGTCAAAGACTTGGTGGAGTTCCATGAGGTCGTTGAACTTGTACAGATGATCCTGCGGATCGGAATTCCCATCTAATGCTCGCATGTCGAGTATTCTGAATCTTGATGGGAGAGGGGCGACTAACACTGCCGGATAAAAGAGAGACGCGTTTGTGACCTGCCCTTGCTCATTTCGCTAAGCCTTTAACTGATCCAGGGCTCGCTGTAGCTCCTCAATCTGAGGCAGTGGAGCCACTTGGGGATTGCTTTCTGCAATATGGGTTCGACCCTCATGGTTGCGGTTGAGGAAAGACAGCAGGTCGGATTCCTCCTCGCCTCGACCGGCAGTCCCAGCCAATCTCGACACATGTTGGCTAGAGTCGCGTGATGGCGCTGAATAGTTCAGGGAACCTTCCTGACCTCTGCGGTGGTGCGAACCGACCTGTGGACGATGGGAACTTCTCTTACGACAATGATCGACATCGTCATTTTGGCGATAATAGGAATCTCCCCGCCTTGCACTTGTGTGGGAGTGCTCGTGCGAGGTGGCACGGGACGGCTCAGGTCGCGACATGTCAACCAGTCTCAATGCCAAGGGTATTCTACCGGGGGCACAATCGGTGTTCGCTGGCTCCTTGGAGCCTCTAGGTCCGCCGTGTGCCACTTGTTTTCCCTTTCTTTGACGCACTGCAATGCGCGTGTTATGGGCTTTTACCCTTTTCCGCGCTTTTATGCGACTTGCAGGCGTTTTTGGCGGTAGCATCGCCTCATTTGATTCGGGTGGTACGACCTGATTCAGCCAGTCCAGCCTTTGGCTAACCGTTTGGAGAGTATTGTTGGACCTCTCCAGGTAGCTCATGATGGTTGGATCAAGCCGTGAGCTTGAAGAGATATCCCCCACGATATTTTGCGGGGCTGAGGGCACCTTGGGAGAAGTGTCCTCTTGCACCTGGAGGATCTCTTCGTCACCATAATTGGTTCTCTCAGATTCAAATCAACGAGCCATTTGTTATAGTGGGACCGATTAGTCAAAGATTCTCCTGATGAAGAACATACTAAATCAGCCTTCCTTCTAGCGCTAAACTATTTGCACGTGGGAGATGCTGAGCGGACTCAGAAGTCACACGTGATTATGAGGGTGTTTGATTGAGTAAGGGATGAAGAACAATGTTTAAAGTGGTTCGGATGCTCAAACAAGCGAATCCTACGTCCACTGATATTGTATTAATGAGTGAAGTCAGGTCGCGTTCAACGAATTGATTTATAGCTTAAGAAATACAATAGGGAGAGAGAGTGTGTGTGTATGCTATTTCAGAGAAAAATTAGCTAAGCTCAGAAACGGGAGAGGAGCCCTCTATTTATAGTGGGAGGAATTAAGATAATGATTATTAAATCTGTGAGTGGGGCAGATGTCGTGCAAATCCTTCTCTACGTCCCATTACTCACCTGCCCGGGTGATTTCCTCGACTTGTGCAGGGATTGGACACGTGGACCTTTTCTAGCCTTTCACCAACCTGACGCATACCCACTGCACTGGCAGGAGCATGCTACTCACGTCATCACGCGACGTGGCTGCATCTGAGTGGATGTAGAACCTTCTCAAGCTCCAACCACCCATGCTGACAAAGCTCTACATCAGCCCTACTTTCTCAGGCATAACAAACTTTTTGCTTTTCTTTTCATTTTTTTATTCTTCCTTCCTTCGCTCTTGTGCTTTTCCATGAGAGGACATTATGTGCACAAAATATGATACGGTAGGATCTTACATTACATGGAGAATGGCAAAGCTGAAAATATAAGCCACAATGGCCAGTCGTTCATCTGCTTCGTTCTTTTCTAATATGGCTATCACATGGTTAATTTCATGGACCAACGAATAAGTTGTTGAAGCTTCTGAAATCAAACCTCAGTTAGGAACTTGCTTTTGATCTAGTGTTGAAGGTCCACATTCACATTGTTCAACATTCCAAATATGCAATGTTGTTTAGTGTATCTTGCTAACATTATTTGCATCATCAAACACGTAACAGAGCCATGCATCTTGTGACATTATCATTGTTGTTATTGTTTTACAAGCTAGCTAGTACAATGGGTTCTCTGTTGAATTGTTGCTAAGTACGATTACAAATTTACACGAGCACAAGTAATATACACCTCAGTCTACATGCAATATGCAATGACAGCATTTACTGCCTCTTAAAAGAAAAGCAACATTACAATAAAGCTTGCTTAATTTCTTTACCTCGGTAATCAGAGTGCGGTTGAATCCTTGAATCTTGCTTGATGGCTCCTTCTCTGTAATCTGAAATGACTGAGCTGGTCTTACTGTATCCGAGTGAGAGTTTCTGAGGCTCTCTGGAGTCTCAGGTGGTGTTGTAGCCGCTAACTGTGATATGGGTGTTTCTGGGGCAACAGACATTTGTTCAGATCTGCTAGGTGTTTCAGGATCAACAGCCATTAGCTTTAAAGATCTAACTGTAGGTGTTCCTGGAGCAATTTGCTCCAAAGATCTAACTGTAGGTGCTTCTGGAGCAATTTGCTCTAAAGATCTAGATGAAGGTGTTTCTGGAGCAACAGCCATTTTCTCTAAAGATCTAGCTGTAGGTGTTTCTGGGGCAACATCGATTTGCCCTAAAGATCTAGCTGTAGGTGTTTCTGGAGCAACAGCCAGTCGCTCCATCGATCCACCAACAGCAGGAGATTCTGGTTCTAAAGGCTCCACTATTTCAGCAGTCCCTGCAATCTTCCATCTCTCTTGGCAAAAAAGGGGAGTAAGCTCTGAACCTGCAAAAAAAAGGTTAGTAATAATACAACTAGGAAATGAGAGAGCAAATATAACATTTACTTACAAGGCAGCAAAGGCAAGGAGAAACCCCGTGAAAGATTGGATATCGGCAAGGCTTTCCAGGCAGTGAGAGCAGTACGAACTTTTCTGCGTTTTGACACCAAGTCACTTGCATCTTCTATATGTTGCCTAATTAGACTGCAAAAGTTGAACAGAACATCATACATTGTACAATTGCTAAGATAATGACATCCTAACTAGGGTCCTCACTTTACCCAATAATAAGAAGAATATGCTTTTGGGAGTCAATCAAACATGGACATGTAACTAAAATCTTTTATCTTTCAGGATCAGTTGCATCAAATTAAGGTGCTTTCATGTAAGAATAATAATACATATACAAACTCCCTATTCAAACTCTTTTAGATGGTAATGCTGCATGGCTTTACGTAATTCATTTTAATTTGCTTTGTTTATTTCTAATATTCACCCCTCTAATAATATAATGCCATAGAGAGTTTTAAGAATTATTTGTCATATAATCACTGACCCATGGGATCTATAATGAAAAACTCTTTAGCCGTTAATGTAGCAGCAGTTAAATGTACATCTTTGAATACAGAGCTCCGCATCACACTGATGAAACGTAATTCTGATAGCTTGATCCACAATCAGAATACTCGGTCATGAACGTATAGATTGTAGCCTTGTAGGTATTATCCATTTCGGGAAAAAGCTTACTGGGATGTAGCAACCATCTCACACGAGTCAAATGCAGTGTAAAGATTTTATAAACTTCATTTTTAAGCTAGTCGGGATTTTCTATGCTTTATTTTACAAATTTTCAAGCCTTCCCTTCTGTAATAGCAGAGGTTAGATAGATGGACAGGCAAAAGAATTGCTGGTAGTGCAGCCTGTGCATGTGGACAAATGCGATTATAAGATTGTATGATCCTGTTCTTTCTTTGTAAACTTGTCATAATATAGCTATAGGAAATAGCGATCGAATAATTGAATGTACTGCTTCCGAAAAGAAAAGAGAAGAAACGGAATACTTCAATACATACTCCCTACAAGGTTATTCCATCAATTGTTCGCCCACCTTAAATTCAGAGAACCAAACCCAATAGCCCTGTTCTCACTTTGCTTAAAATTTCGAGACCTTAATAAATTTCAAAAACCAGGCATGCTAGTAACATTAAAAAAATGAGATAACTGGAGCCCAGAATTCTGTGAGGTTACATACAGACACTGGTGTTTTCCCAATTATAGAAGCCAATAAAAACTATATGAGCCCTTCATGCAGCCACAACTGTCCCAACCACTTCTGTTTCAACTTCTTGGGTGTTTCACCTTCTTTCTTTTTGCCTTTTTTCATATCATCGGCACCCTGTTGCTGCTGCTCCTCAATTTTTTTCTGAGCTCGAATCATGGCTCGTCTTGCACGGGGTCGCATTTCTCTAACTGTTCGAGGTGGCATGACATATGATTCAAGAGGTCGGTCACAAAACGGGTGGTCACTTCCAGAAAATATTCTAAGTTTTCGATCTCTATCCTGCATCCACAACAATTTGCTTAAACCAAATATTGAAGCAAAAGTAGCATGTCGACATGGACACCTGTACTACACAAATTCACACAACGTACTTTCACCAATAGGAAAAAGATAAAACACAGGGTATACTCACTATAACCTTGAAATAGGAATGCACACAAACAATGGTAACTGTGGGAATTTTAGATAGCATGGATATAAAACTATTAGAGAATGTTGACCCAGAGTCAACTGGGTAATTTTAGTGGTACACCACATGCTTTAATCCAGAAATAATTCTGTTTCTGATAAAGTTAAGATACATATTTGAAGGTTTTCGTAAGCTTTTCAAATGAAAATGCCACAATAGTTATTCTCCACAAGGATCAACCAAGAGAGAATCATATTTGTTCCATACCAATTCAAGTACATAACTCAAACATTCCAGCACAAAGTTAAAGATTTTCCAGGGTCTTAGGAGCTGGACCCAAAAATATAGGCATATTAATACTCAATTTAAAACAGTAAAATTACAATGAAAATAAAAAAGGTACCAAAGCACGTTAAAAAACCATGTCAAAAAATGAGAAAAAGGTACTTCATCTAATGTGTTAGCTATTATACTTACATCACGCAACTTGTTTCTTGGAAGCATGCGTAGGACAGCTTTGCGAATAACCTCTGTAGGGTCCTTGGCCAACTGGTCCTTTAAACTCCTTTCCTTGAGGTTGCCTATATACCTAAGGAATACAGATACACACTAAGACAGATAAAAAGCAAGTTGAACTCAGAAACTACATGAATGAAACTGAAACAACACACGTTTCCTTTCCCATTAGCAAATTTGAAAAATCAGCTGATATTTCATTTGTCTGTGCCACTTAATAAGCATTCACTTACAGTTCTCCAAACTCAACTAAAAGAAGGTCAAAGTGAAGTATAATATAAACCAAATAGTTGTCTAATATCCGTTAAAATTACCCAGTATGCCAGCGATAGAACTTATCCGTAAGTTTTCTCCCAGTAACTTGTATATCCTTTGCATTAAGCACAATGCACATATCCCCATCATCACGATTTGGAGTATAGGTGGGCTTATCCTTGCCTTGTACCACAGTAGCTATTTGAGACGCTAATCTCCCAAGGACCTACATAGAAAGCAGGTTACCATTATCTTTCACCAACTTCATAACTCAAGTACAATATGAAACAATTCAAATCCTATGGGATCGTGAACATATCAACAGAATATGAATCAAGAAACCAGTTGCTTCAGCAAAACTTCAATCTGCTTTCTGTCAGCTTAGTTTGAACAAAAAATAAGCCGATTCACTTAGAAGTTTCCTTTCACCAAGCATCAGTCTTATAATTCAGAAACAGAAAACATGAACCTTCCAACAAAACGATCGGTATTCAGATTATCTAGCCCAATATTCTCTAAGAAACAATAGCATGTGAAAAGAAAATGAGTAATATGTCCAACCTGGCCTTTGGCATCGAAAACTCTCCATCGTAGACCTTCCAGATTGATACGCCTAATACCAGCAACTGCTTTCTGCATAAATTAGAAAAGGGGTGCTGTCCGTTATCGAATGTACAGGCAATCACAAAACAAACTTCGTAAAATTTTTAACAGTATGGCCAACTTCTCGATTAAACTATGTTTCACCAATACACCGACTCGTTTGGTACATTTAACAAACATTTCGCATGCATTGCATTGAAGGTTCTAGTTTATGATTTCGACAAATGAAACATAAGAAAATACAAATACAAATACAAATACATAGAGATGAATGAGAGGAAACGAAATTGCCTTTAAGTTGCCATTAAATGATGCGGCTGCTTGATTCGCCATTGTTCTTGCTTTATATTTAAACACAAATCATTCACCTGTATAACGCCAACCAAAGACAAGATCAACAAAAGCTAAATCCTAAACATAAAACAAAAGAAAATTAAAACTAAATACAAATATTAACACAAACCCCCCCAAAAAAAAAAAAAAAAAAAAAAAATTAGACTGACCTGTATAAACCCTGAAGAGTAGGGTTTTCTTCCTGGAAAGGACAAGTGCTCAATGTTTTCACAGCAAACTGCTTTTTGAGTTGGGCTTGTAACTTAATTTGGATCTTATCTTTTGGGCAGTAAGTTGTCCAATATCGAGAGCCCAAGCCCCAATGTTAAGCCCTTTTTTTCAGGTTTATTTTAAGATATGCACAGTAACGTGAAAACTCATTAATGTACTGGCAGTGACACCTGATTAATGTATTAATGTACTAAAGAAAACTCATTTCTTAATCCTTTACAAAGTGACGCTATTTGCCATGTCACCCACTTGCTACTTTAGCCTTTTCTAAGTTGCGTTTGCCATATTATTCCTATCTATATTTTTAATTTTTTTTTTAATATTATTTATTTTGTTAATTGAGAAATATTAGTATATTTTTTTATTATTTTAAACTTCTTAAATTTATTAATTTTATAAATATCCTCAAATCTTTTTTTTAATATTATTTATTTTATTATTTGAGAAATATTAGTATATTTTTTATTACTTTTAAACTTCTTAAATTTATTAATTTTATAAATATCCTCAAAAAAAATTTTAAATATTAATAAAAATATCTCAATCCACCCATACTTGTCAGATTCTGACAATCATAATCGTTGATAGCCAAAATCTATCACAATGGTCTATAAACGACAAAAATAGACTAATAATTCACTAATCTAACCTTTTTTTACCAGATCTATATCTAGCCGTCAACGACAGTCAAAGAAATGACCGTCAGATCTAGACTTTTTCGATCATCGATAACTAGATCTGGCCATAAATTTAACCTTTTTCGGTTAGATGTGTGGTAGATCTAGTTAGAAAATATCATATCGATGCCTTACTTGTAAATCCGACTAGTCTGTATCGTAACGATATTTTTCGACTAGATTCTGATGATGGTGGTCAGAATCTGACACTGTGGGTGATGGGAGTATTTTTGTCATTTAACAAAATTTTTATATATTGAGGTGTTTAGTTAAATTAGCATATGAGGTTTTTTTTTTATAAGTTTTTAAATTTTATCTCATAACACTCTTCTATTCAACTATCCAATATTATTCCCAAAATCCTATCCAAAATAATAAAACCAAACGACCCTAAGGATTTTACAGATTTGAAAACCGGACAAACACTCCTCTGCCCCTCGCTCTCTCTTTCCCTCCCTTTTCCCGCTCCTTCTCAGTAGCTAGATTAAAAGAGGGAGAAGGATCCAGCTCCAGATACACAGAGAGACGGAGAATGGATCGTTCACCTCAAACCGATTCCACACGTTTCATAGATCAGGATTATCAGGATTATCTAGGATTAGTTTCTAATGGATATTTCAGAGATCACGATTTTTATCTGGATTATCAAATGTTCCTTTCTAATCGCGAAGTTCCTTTTGAAGAAGAACTAGAAGACGATGGAGTAGAAGAAGGAGGAGTTACTAATACGGGTGATGAAGAGATGGAAGATCCGGTGGTGGAGTCAATTTCTGTGACGCTAACTGACCCAAAAGTTTTTGATTGCCCCATCTGCTTTGAGCCGTTGTACTCTCCCGTCTTTCAGGTTTTTTTTTATTTTTTTTTCCTTCAAGTTTTGTCTTTTACACGTATTTGTGCTTGTATGAAGTTCAACTCATTTGGGTTTATTTTGTTTTGCTTGGTTTCCTATATTTTTATTATTCCGGAGTTGATTGTATTGAGATGCTTTTAAGAACTAGTAGTTTTTGTGGCTGGGGAGAATTTATAATTGGATCATTAACTTAAGAGCGATTTTACTATACTGGGGAGGTACGGATACCGGTTTGTTGTAGACGGTTGGTTAGGATAAAGTAATCCTCATCTGATAGTCCCAATTTTCCTGTATGATACCTTCCCGGTATAGTAGAATCACACCAGAATAAAAAGTTTAGGGCTTTTTTTTTATTTGGATAGTTGAGACAACAGTTCAGGGCTGTAATGATGAAGCCTGTGCAGACTTCCTATTTGGGATTTATGTAACTTGTAGTTTGCTCATGAATTCTTTGGGTAAATCAACTTAAACACTAAAGAAGTTTTATCCAAGGGTTTTGATCCTGTTGTCTCTGGAAGTCTTTAATTATTCATTCGAATATTGTAGAAACGGGGTCTGTAGATGATAAAAACCA